ACAGGGGCCTGCTCTGTTTAATCTGAAGGCCCCGAGCAAGTTTAATTTACCTGGCAACGCAAGCTATCTGAAATATGATTCGTTAAAAACTCTACCATAATAAATACGTTATTTATCGAGTGGCTTTCAATGTTATTTAAAATAACAGCCACTCAACTAAGTGGAAATAATATGATGTAAAGAATACAGAGAATTTTTTTTTACATATTTATGAAAATAAAATTACATAAATTATAAAATAACATAAAATACATAAAAGTAAATTTACTTTTCTGAGAATGTTTAGGCCAGCAGAGAAGGCCTTGCTGGCCCTCAGGGTCCGCCACTGAATATAATATACCTACAACCACAGTACAATATGTAGATGGAACAAAGTATTTCATCGTCTTCGGGCAGCGAATGTACTTTTATTTTCTGATGGCCGCACACATATTTTCTGTCTTGAAACTATATTGAACCATGTTTACATTCTCATATGCACTGTACCATGGTTGAAATAATTGAGAGCAGGATGCAAAGCTGACTATTATCACTCATTCATTCTGAATGGAGAACTCACTCGAATTCATATCAACGGCTTGTCGCCCTCACTCTGCGGCGTTGGAAGGTCTCTCCCGCTGCTGGAGCCCTTTCATCCATTGAATGGGACCCGGCAAGCAAGCAGTGCGTGCGCCCGATTGCGAACCATCAATCATCAAAAAAAGTATCCATTAGTACGGATGAAATTATAAATATAGTTCAGTGCTGTTGTCAAAAACGATTGTGTTTATTGTATGTCGTATATGTATGAATGTGGCAATGGCTGGGGAATGGGCGTGTGATGCATCGCTGTTGGCCAATCAGATAACAGTGACAACTTGGCTCCGCTCGGCCTTGGACGGCTGGCACTTTCGAATCACCACCGAGTTGTTTTTGAAAATCGATTCAATCAGAATTGCTTGGCCGGGTAAAAATCTAATGTCGTTCGGCTCTTCAGAGCGCACCAAAAACGGCGCTAGACACTCGGCCCTTTGCCTGGGGACACGGTGTGCCAGTGCTGGCTGGTTTTGGAAACTTATTTTTAAAGGCAAGTCAAAATTTTTGGAACGGGGTGTATTCATTGGATTAATTATTTTGCAAATGTGGGACTAATTGAGAAAATGCAACAGTGCGTGACCTGCAGTTGTACTGATAAGTCTGGGAGAAAGGCTTTGAGCACATTTCATCGTGAAGAATGTGATTTTAGAATTTTGCTCATGAGGTCTATTCCTGAATGATACTCAAAGATTCGTTTGAATTTTGTCGTCTGAGCCATCAACAATGAAATGAAAGTAAAGCCCATCGGGACAAAATACGCTGTGAAAGGTCAACCTAACCTCTGTCAGTCACAATTCACGATCTTGCGATAATATACTCTGAACAGTGAAGTCTGTTCTTTGAGAGTCTCTCATATATATATATATATATATATATATATATATATGAGAGACTCGCAAAGACAGGGCAAACAACGGACAGAAGGGTGCAGTAGCCTGTGTTGATTTATTGGGCGGCAGGATTCTTCATGAACAAACAAAAAAAAAATCAAAGTAAGCCAAAAAATAAGGGTTTCTTAATTTTTTTTGGGGGGGGGGGTTATTAATACTAAATCTGTGCTTCATTTATGGCCATACATCAAGATATGAATGAATGTTTTTTTTTTTTGAAGCATGCTGTTCATGTTCTCAGAGTACTCGGTCTATGAAATTATTTGCAGCTTGCATGCGAGAATTCAATGACAACGTTGGGAGAAAAAAACGTACTGAAGATTGTTCACAATGGACAGCATCCTTAGCTCTCTGCGTCAAGACAGGCTTCAGACTCTGATTTTCTGGGATGGTATCTGAGTCTATTGTGTGTCAAGACAGTGATGCATGTTGAAGACATGACAATCTTGAACTGATGGAGGAAAAAAAAATGTTTCTGCACAATTTCCCTTGTTTGAGAGGAGCTGCCAAGGCTACAGAATGCTGCCAAAGAATAAAGGAGACATTTTCTTCTTGTTGAAAATAAATCTGAAAGGCAAACTTTCACATGAATCAGACTGAAGTTTTTCTTTGCAATGCGTGCGGAACGCGTCTCAAGGCAAGTCTCAACTCATCGTTTTCTCAGCGAGGTCACGAGCGATATGAAAGCAGCAAACAATCGGGCTGCAAAACAATTCATGGAAAATGGCCACAATTTCACAGATTTTTTTTTTTTTTTTTTTTAAACACCATCGGCTGCCTTGGTTGGCCAAAAGACATGTATAGGTGCACTGCCTCTGAATATTATGTGCTCTTTACCTACCTCTGTTCCTTACTATTCAGGTGTAGATGGTGCCGTTGTCATGCTATAGTCAACGTGTGTTCACCACTTCTTTTCAGGAATGTCAACCATAATATCACCTACTGTTTTTTTTGGGGTTTTATTTGCATGTACAACAGCTCAGCATTAAGTCAGTATCGTTGTCAATGCCATGCCATTTTTTTAAGGGTTACTGGGAATAAATTTCTTTGATTCATCACCATTTCACTTTTGTAGGATGTAAGGCCCCGATCTCCATCTCTCAGTGCTGACCTTTGACCCCAGATCTACCTATTCCTCCATCCTTACTGTTTGCACGACACCCAGCAGGGAGGAGGGGAGCACAGAGATGGGCTCTGATGATCCAAGAAAGAACACGGTAAAGTCCCTTTTTATTCTTGAGACTTTATATCAGTACATTTTAGTGTGTGATGTAGTTGTGCATAACTTGAAAACGTTCATATCTGGAAGAGAAACTCTGGGTCAAAGCTTACGTTTAAACAGTACTACTGTGCTGCACCCTAGTGGAGAACCGGTGAATTGCAGCATGAACGCACAAGAATTATCTTAGTAGGGTGAAAAGTTGCGCCATACCCGTGTCAAATCCGACCTGGCCTGTCCAAATAATTGTTTTGTTTTTATAACTGATAGGGAAGCATGGCGTGATGATTTGCTCATCATTTATGTCAGCATCTGAACAATGTCAGTGGGAACAAAAGCTATGTATGCGGGTCCTTTGAAACCAAAGACAAATTTAAGTTTGCTGACTCACGAACAGCAAAAGAACTTGCAATAATTACAGTTTGGACAGATGACTTGATGCATTTGTTGTTACAAATGCCACAACTGTCTGCGGTCGACTTATGTTAAAATAAATGGCACATACTTTATACTTTCAATGTTATCCTTTCAGAAATGGATTTTCTTAATTTACTACTCGCTTAAATCATGATAAATGCAAAGGCATTCGTATCATAGCATGACGAAGCGAAGATAATTCAGTTTATTTTTTGGGTGACTAATGACAGTGTTGGACTTAAAGAAAAAAATAAGTTTGACACCCAACTTTAGCTGGCCAATTGCGTTTTTTATTTTTCAAAGGAAAGGTACTTCCTTTCTATAGCAACACACATGGTTGGCAAGCACCCACAAGTAAATCTTGAGACGACTGTGAAAAGAGGCACACAAAAGACCCCAAATTGAACATAAAAAAACAAAATATTTATTCACTTCTTTGTGTTGTGTATTTGAGTCGACATTTATTGATACTGTCTGCAATGAGCAACACGGGACGCTAATTCTACAAAGTTTTAAAATAAACACTCAATTTGGAAACAGTTTTTGAGACTTTTGGTCGGTGAAGAGAGTCAGGACAGGTTCAATTGGTGCAATTTTGAATTCCAAATACACAAAAGGCTTTGGAATTTTTTTTTAATTTAATTTTATTTTTTTTTGCAAAAGGCAAATAAATGACAAACACAATTTTTCTGCAGTGTCCGTTAAACATTTTTCTTAACCTTTTGAAGGTATTCCGCACACACGGTCAAGTGCTCCATCCATCCCAATCCACTTTATTAGTGTCACATCTATACTGTCATGCGATCATAAATCAGTTTAAGTACCAGTCTCACTCGCGATACATGAGAATATTAGATACAAAGGTAAACGAACTGCTTCTTTCATTAGCTAGCGGCAACACAATTTCAAATAGTGACACTCGTGTTAGAAATACATGTACATCATTTAAAAATAAAGTCACAGTTTGTAACATTGGTCGACGGCATTTAAATAAGTCCTGCAGCATATAAAACATAAAAACAATACATACAAATAGTGAAATTATACGCAAGTTGTCCAACATTTTGTGCAGTTTGTTGTTTGATAGGTTTCCAGTGTTGTTCGGCGTGAGATGCGTTTTTACATTCACCCACACGTGCACTCTGCATCGCAGAGATATCAGCTACACAAGGCACCTAACAGGAAGCGGCTACAAATATCCGAAGCAGTGACAAGGCTGCGGTTCAGAGACAACAGGTAGAGAGAAACATTTCTTCTACTTCTTTCTATTCATGTACTGGAGCGGCAGCGACGCGTGAAGATGAGGAGCGGGCAAAAGCGAAACTGGCGGTCACGTGGGATGGACCATATCGGCAGTGTCGTTGCCACAGAGGCAACGACTGGAGGATAGCGTGAAGGACAAAGAGAAAGAAAGAAAACAGGAGAGGAGGAAGGGGGAATATTTTATGAAAAAAAACCCTGCTCTTCTGTGACCAAGGTAACACCGTAACAGGCATATTGGTCGATTTACAGCACAATAAACCAGCTGTAGCCTCCATGATGTCACATTGTCATTCTGCACTTCTGGTAAATATGAGGGGTGCAGTATTCACTCCACAACATCAAAGGCAACGAGACAGCGAGCGCAGTCACACAACTACTGCTGCTAGCGGAATATTCTTTGGAAAAAGGGCCACGACGAAAGATTGACTAGTCAACAGCTGGCAGGATACATGCTATTAGAATGTCTACCACACAAAGGCAAAACACAATACACACTGAAATATATGTAAGATGCTAGTTCGACTAGGGACATGGCGAAGCCTACAAGTGTAAACACGCAGGCCTCTGCCCTTGAGACACCTTTCTTACAGCGTTGCAGTGTGTCCTATGAAGTGTTTCTGGACAATGCGTTTGCATGCAGGGAGGACCAGTTTGTCCTATAAAGACACAGAGCACACGGAAAGTGAGAAAGAAAGAAGGAAGGAAGGAAGGAAGGAAGGAAGGAAGGAAGGAAGGAAGGAAGGAAGGAAGGAAGGAGATGTTTACTCGGGTCATAGGGGCTAGAGGTGCTCTCATGGTCATCATCAACAAAATTTCAGTCTGCATAGAAGACAATGGCTGGTTAACCATCATAATACAAGAAAATAAAAACCCAACATATCCCAACAATCCAATTGCACTTCAGAATTAAAGATGATTCCAGTGCTAATGTTAAGCTGCAAAGCTGTGACACTGAGCCCTGATCGGAATGTAGTCCTCTCCATAGTCATCCCACAATGCTTTGTGTCATGCTTGACTGCTGACTTGGCAACAGTCAACCCCTTGCAGTGTGGTGACGCATACCCGCTATTAGCGACATGCGTAGTGACATCGGGAAATGAGCTTAGCACAGCTCGACTTGGAAGCCATTTGGTCCATTTGAACAGCATTCAATTAGTTCTGCTCACGACACTGTTTTATGACAATTCATAAATTAGACCAAAGTCTCTGGTCCAGCCCTGCTGAAGGTTTGGCCCTGCTTTGACGTGTGGTTGACATCGGTGAATCCCAGCAGGGGCGGGAAGGTGCAATAATCTGGGGGCCTCTGCCAGCGTGTCACCATGGCTTTCTTGGTAAAAGGTTCAGACCTTGTAGGGTTAGGCGTGTTCCTGTGGATGCTGGAACCTCGACGGCGGCTGCCAGCATTGGGAGCAGCGTGGATAGACGACAGGGGGGTGAACTCGGAAAGCTGACCCTTGTATACTTTATCAGCATTCTGTGTGGGGATCAGAACGGAGAAAAAAAAAATCAATATAAATATGGAAGGTTGCCGAGGAGCTACTGCACACTAACATCCCAGTTGGGTTCAGTTTCAAAAGCGTGCCTCCAATTAAATCCCTCAATGAGCAGCACTTGATGTTTTTACTTTGATTGATCAACTGGGATATTTCGTGTACTTTTGCAGTGTCCTCATTAACAACGAACCATGCAAATAGAAACACAAGAGTGGTGAGCCCCGTGGGCGTTTTGGTCGGAAGGAAGCACTCGGTCACCAGAGGGCCCCAGAGGTCCAAACATCAAACCACCGAAACAGCCAACACACATGCACAACCACCTGATAGTTAAGTTCAAACTGCATTCATGTAGAAAAAAAAGCAACTTTATTAGAACAAGGCACCCACACCCACATACACACACACAATATAAGCTTTACCATGCTGAAGCCCTCTAGGCTTGTGTGACAGCTAGCCCACCTAGCAAGGAGTCAGAACTCAGGCAGGCTTCGACCTCCTCATAAGCTCTACTATCCGTCACATGCTGCATACACGAACACACACCACACACACACACACACACACACACATAGGTTTATATCAACATGTTTTTCTCTTCATAGCTGAATCCAGACGTGTGACTTCTGTTTCATGCAAATGAGCAGAGCAAAAGGAACGTGGTCGGAAAGAGGAAGTGAAGGCGGGCTGAAAGGAAAGGAAGCGGACGGGTCACCTCAGGGCAGGATTAGAAACTGATTCTGCTGGAGGTCTGAGACAGCATAAAGATGGTGGAAGGCTGAGAGGCTAGGCACCGACGTTTCATCTGCCAGGGGAGCGGAATTGCAGGAGGGAGGAGGAGGAACCAGGAGGTCAGATAATGAGGAAAAGAAGGGAAGGGCAGAAAGTTCACAGCTCAGAAGATCACTCAGATCTATACATAGATGTGCGGTATTTTAGTGATCAAGTCATTCAAACTGAAGGTAAGAGTGAGAGAAACATTTTCGGATCAATCAGGTTGAATATTAGCTCGCTTCAAGTGTAGGGAGGTGAGAAGGTTTTGATCACAGATCGTATGGAAGAAGCTCACTGCCGCGGCGAGTCAGACGACATTTCTAACCGGCCTATGAATGCACCGGGGCTGAAAGGGTTGGACAAGATTAAGAAAACAATTTCAAAATCAACACTTTCAGTTCCAAATGTCAATCACACCTACAGTGTAAGTGCAAACACAAATTCTATTGCACTGGTCTGAAGTGAAGTCAAAGAGCAGAGGCAAGCACGCAGACAAGACTGACTGACTTGCATCCGCGAGAGCAGGAACATAGCCGAGTCCTGCATACATCTGCTGAGCCACAGCCACTGATTAGACACAACACTGTCACGGTCTTACCAAACTTGAAAGCGGACAATTAATGCTGGAAGCCAATCTGCTAAGTTGGGCAAAAGGAAAGTGTTACCCGCTCGTGACTCGCACAACCAGGGCAGAGCTTACCTGTATACGTTCAGTGGTAGTGGGCCAAAGAGACCTCCAGATGACCTTCTTCAGCACATCTGGCAGAAGACTGGCTATAATCAACAGTACTATGCTCAGCCATGCAGGGCCACTGGACAACATCTGCATGAATACGTAGTACATCCTTTGGTAGTTGAGGAAGGGCCTGCGGGACACAAGACATTTCGGGACAACCAGTCAATCAGAGAACAGCTCTCAATATTACAGAGCGAAATGAGAAGAAGGGGCGGGGGGAATTGTACAAAGCCTACCAGATGATTCCTCCCCACAGTAGAGAGAACACCACAAAGAAGATAAGCGAGCCCCATATTACAAAGTGGTTGATCCAGGTCCAGTAATGTGTATCGAGGGCCAACTGGAGGCAGGCAAGACATGTCAATGTGTGTGAGCGCGAGTGTGCATTTGTGTGGATATGGGGTACCTTGAATGTAACTATGAAGACCAGCGCTGTAAAGACCAGTGTCCCAAAGGTCCAGTTTCCAAACATCTGCCGGGAGAAAAACAAAACATTGTTGCTGTTTGCTATCTCAAGTCACTTTAATTCTACAAACACAAACGCTGAACAGTAAAACATACAAGAACATATCAATGACGAATGTGTGCGTAAAATCAACACGAGTCAATCAATTAACAGATGGTGAACAGCGACATGAGGGAGGGACAACGGGGACTTGAGTATGCAGTTGTATGTTGACACAATGTTGGGTAATTAAATAAGCAACAACCAACAATAAATAACCCTGCTATATTTTTTGCTGATTATTGTTTTGTTCTGCACAAAGTAAGAAAAGACATTTTGCAAGGCGAATCTATTTCAATTGTCTTATCATAAGCGCTAATGGCCATTAGTGGATGGAATAAAACAAACAACATAAAGGTGCCAAGTGGGTTTTCACACTTAGCTTCCCTGTACTTCAACAACAGCAACAACAAAAATCCTCCCCCAGTCCGAACATCTTTTTGTTGAGAATGGATGCAGGCAAACAGCTTCTCATTGGCACATCATATTACGTTCTGTCACACATATACACTGTCAGAAAAAAAGTGCTGCATTTATGATACCTTTTTGGGTCCAATGGCTTGTCACTGAGGCAGTACCTTCTCGCATCCACTTAGGTTGTAACTTTTAAACAAGGTCCGTATTGGGACCCTCACAATTTGTACTGTTTGTGGAAAAATTTGTATCATAGAGTAATTTTTTTTTTCATCTTAGAGTACATATTTGTACTCGTTTTAGGCAAAACTGTAACTAAAGGTTACATCACATTTGCCTGCAAAGGGCGCTGTCTGGATCGGGGATGGGCAACATGATAAAAATGATTCCCCTACCACACCTGATCATTTTCAAGTTGTAATTATGTGCTTCATTCATATCAATTTGTGTAGCACGAGCAACTATTCACCTCTATAAGAGAAGAAAATCATGCTAGCGACAACCCTGTCAACATACAGAAGAAAGGAAAGCGTCCACCTTGTATATATCAAGATGTTCACAATCACATGTACAGGTGTAGCACTAGATGATGAGCGCATACAATGAAATTTGGGTAGTAAACACGCTTAAGAGATAATGATTAATGACATTAAGATGGGAAATGTTCCATATAGCGTACCACAAAGGATCCTGGGAACTGAAGATTGGTCAAAAAATACAAAAGTACACAGACAACAATATGTTTTCTTCGCAATAACCGTTGTCAGTTCAACGAAGTTTCCCATGCCCGGTCTAGATGACGACCCTTACTGCTTTTTTTAATTTTTTTTTTTTTTTTTTTTTTAAGTGCATTCAATACAACAGTGAGCTCTTTTGAAAGGCATCTGTCGAGGCCTTGCACTTGTTTGCACCCTTACATGCCACCATAAAGATGAAGAAACGGTCCTTTTACCAATTTCAACAATTTGTGAACCTTTCTAACCATAAAAAAGAAACAGACTGTCCCTAGGGCTTCAACCGTGAACCCTACAGGGTACATGACAAAAATTTGTACCTTGGAGAACAAAAAGTGGACCACCTACAGTACCCGTTTTTCTGACAGTGTATACAAATTGTACAAGGGAGGTTTGGAATAAGAGTAAACATGGGTGTGAGTGAATATGCACCTAGCCTACAGCTGTAGGCAAGCACTGAGAGAAGGGACATGAGATGAGAGGTGAGTGAGCGGGCAATGGTTGGTTCTGTATGAGGCAGTGTGACTGGGTCAGACTGGGACTCTTGGAGGGCCGACAGTGAGTTGTGGGCACGCTTACCATCTGTGTGTTGGTTGTCATTAGCTGGGAGGAGGAAAAGAGAAGCATAAAGAAAAGGCAACAGAAAGGTAAGAGGAGAGGAAAACGAAGGCCAGAAAAAGAAAATCATAACAGCTAAACCACAGTTTGGCGGCTGGAGGGGAAAAAAAAAAAAAAAAAAGAACTGATGCAAAGAAAAATAATCAAGAAGCTGACAAAGTTTGAGGACGGTAACATTGGCCACGAATGAAAGGTGGCAGACAGATGGTGGTGACATTTGAGCAGACAGTCTACTCTAAATGCTCTGACATCTAACACCCATCTGGCATGACAGCAGATCTGCACCTGGACATTGAAACTAAGATTAAACTCATTAAGACAACAGACTCAAATTGTTTGTGACTTGTTGCCTGACATTGTACTACCTGCTATTATTCCATCCCCATCCCACTTTGTCTTATTTATTATTATTATTACTATTATTATTATTGTTGTTTTGGTAACCTCAATGGTAACTTAAACTAGACAAAGCAAGAGTGTTGTTGTGGACACGCTAGTGCTACCTGTCCGTTGCTGGTAAATGTGGTGTTGTCAAACAGGAAGTAAGCACCAAAGAACATCACAATGGCATCATATACACCTAAGAGAGTCCAATATATGAAGATGGGCCACCGCAGTAATGAATTCTTGGCAATGTCCCTGTGAAGGTAAGGAAAAACCATGACCATGAGCAAAAACACACCTACCGGTACTCATCAATACTTCATTGACTCCTGATGGAGAAGCGCCAGATCAGGATGTGATGTGTTCATTTGAGAGAGTTACTTTTGATTCATCAAATACAGTTCATCCAGTCTACGGTATTCTTTGGAACAGTTACTGTTATGTCAGAAATGACTGGACAACGACAACGCTTTCAAACAAAGCATTTCAAATATCGTAACTCAAGTGAAATTGAAGAGTAGATTTTCAGACCAAGAAAAATGTGGTAGTCACAAATTATAGTCCATTTATGCACAGTATGTGGCTTAAAAGTGTTATTTCCGTTCTGGTTTATTTAATTATAGTGGTGTGTGGATAAAGGCAAAATAATCAAACTATTTTTCACTGTCCAATCACTTCTGGAACTACAGATATTGGTAGCTTTTACTGGTAGTGTGTGCGTGTGTGTGTGTGTGTGTGTGTGTTGTAGTCACTCAGAAAACGCCCATGTCAGATGAGCACAGTCGGTAAGTCAATTATGGTGCGCTCCAACCTGTATAGGGACGGGTCCTTCTTCAGGATGTCCATGTTGATGTGCTGTTCGATGAGACTGTAGACCAGAATGGGCAGGGAAGTGAAGCTAATGTTGTACAGGGTCAAGTAGGCTGTATCATAGAGTGGCTGAAAATGAGGAGAGACACGATGAGTGAGACATTTGATCATTTGTGGTGTCTTTCCGTGCTTCGCTGTGCTTGTGCGAGTGCATCCCTACCTGTTGTGAGAAACCACAGAAGAACTGGTATAGAAATTGCGGGAAGATGAAACAGACATTCTGCGGGAATAGAAGCATAAACTCGGTCGGTCTATCCCGCACCTTGCATGAAAATAACACGCAATCCACACTATAGGTACCCGTACCTTGTAAAAGAAGTACTGTACAAGTTCAGAGATGCGTATGTAGTAATAATGTCCATGGACAAGCAGAATCTTCTTCAGGTGTTTGAATTTGGGAATGGCATAGTCGCTGTTCCTCACTGCCTGACGTCCCTCTTTACCCATGATACCTGAGGGACAAGGCCAGTTATTTTGTCCCCTGTACTGATCCTCAATTTTAAATGCTTGAAAAAAAAAGTGTTAACCTATGCCAACATGAGCTTCGAGGATCATGCTGACATCATTGGCGCCGTCTCCAATGGCAAGAGTGATTGGATGCTCCTTGGAGGTCTTGATCAGCTTCACAATCTAGAAAGGTCAAAAATCAGAATAACGCCACCTTTATGAGTGCAAACCAGTGAGCCTTGCTCTTCTATTTTAGAATATGAAATTGGTAAATTCAGAGGCAGAGGTTGCCTTTGTACCTGCGCTTTCTGAAGCGGTGCCATTCGACAGCAGAGGACAGCACTGCAGTTGCGGCAAATTTCTAGGAAAATCTCTTTGTAGTTTCCTGAGTTGGAGTCTTCCTGGCCTGGCTTCATTACCGTCGAGAGGGTTGCTCCGTCGATGATGAGGCCGTAGTCCATGTAGTCACCTGATAAACTGCACAGTCACAAGACTGCAAGATCACACTCTGTGTGCTTCCTACGCGACTTCCGGCTGCAATTCTCCAAAAGCCGCCGACATCTTTCAAAACACACCCAGAAACGTCCCTGCTCATGCCGCCATGCTGCCTGAGGACGGTTCTGCTCAGATCAAACAGGACATCGTGAAGGCTCTGCTCCTCTGTGCGCTTGGTGGTCAGCTCCAGGATCTGCGTGTTGCGGTGGAAGAGCTTGCTGGCATAGCAAGTGGCGGCTGCCGTCTCCATCTTGTCACCGGTCAGCACCCACACCTTCATTCCAGCTTTGTGCAGGGACTCAATGGTGTCTGCCGCTTTTTCTTGGAGTCTGCAAAGGTCAAGTTTGAGGAAGGGTCAAGGAAGTAGCACATCAAGAGGGTTGACTATTTCATTTGCTGTGGCTACATTGAACAAAATTATGGGCACTTTTGGCAAAGATCGAAATGTTTTTCTACATCCACAAAAGGCCATTTTCCTGAAATGTTGTTCCCAAATCTGTCTAAATCTGTGTTGGTGAGCATTTCTCCTTTGTCGAGATAATCAGCTCGCAGGTGTGGCGTATCAAGATGCTGAGTAGACAGCCTGATTATTGCACAGATGTGCCTTAGGGTGGCCACACAAAAAAAAAAAAAAAAGACCACTCTGAAATGTGCAGTTTAGCACGCTGACACAGATTTGGACAAGATTAGAGGCAGCGTGCAATTGGCATTCGGACTGGAGGAATGCCCATCAGAGCTGTTGCCTATGAATTTAATATTCATTTCAAGCCTTCTCCGAAGGCGTTTCAGACAATTTGGCAGTACATCCAATGCAGGCCGTGTGTCACCGCAGCAGCCCAGGACCTCCACATTCAGCATCTTTGAGTTTACCTTGTGAAAAATGGGAGCATAAACGAAAAGGTGGTGCATTTATATTTTTGTGTAGTACACTAAACAAGAAACAAGTGAAGGGTGCAACGCAGGACAATTGTCTCTCTGTCTCACTTTGCAAAGTACAAGCTGCCCTGCAATGCCCTCCGAGCAAACAAAGTCTTTGCATGAACTACCAATTGCGTCCTTCAGAAAGTCGTTAAGGCAGTAGCATTCCTGGAATCAAGAACTGATTCTGTGGAATGATGGGAGAGAGAACTCCGAGACAAGAATACCGTCCATTCATCTATTTTTTGCTGCTTATCCAGTTTAGGGTTGTCCATGAGCTGAAGCCCATTTCAGCTGACTTTCAGCAATAGGAGGGGCACACTCTGTACTGTTCACCAGTCAATCGCAGGGCACATACAGACAAGACAGTCATTGACACTCACGATGGGCTTGAATTTAACCTATAGCGTGCATGCTTTCGGCTCAGGTGAAGAGAACATTCAAACGCCACACACAGAGTTCAGAGCCACGATTATCAATACTAAATCCCCAAATGAGTTAAGACGAGCCCAAATTGAATGCTGTCATCTACCTGTCTTCCACAGCAGTGGCTCCTAGCAGGATGAGGTCTTTCTCAATAATGTCATAAGCCTCCGCCAGACGTTTATCCCTGTCCTGTAGTGCCAACTTGGCTCGACTCAAAAGTAAGCACACCTCCTGGTACTGCGCTGGACTGAGCGGCCGGTATGCCACACAGAGTGTCCGAAGACCCTCCTTGGAAGAAATTCAGTTGGCACATTATGAATGCAGAGGGGATATAGAGTGCAGTATGTCTTTTGAGTATGCGTGTCTGCTCTCACCACTGCATTGTGCTCCACCCGAGCTCTGACTTGATCCACCTTGCCTGATATAACCCTTGGGAAGATGGAGGAATCTGCTCCTTTGCAGAAAAGGTACAGCTCACCTGGAGACATGGGCAAATAAACAAAGAAGAAGAAATATATAAATATATAAATCCGATGAGAAACCCAAACAGAAGATCCTTATTACCGGTGCTGGCCCTGACAATGACGCTCATCCTCCTTCTGACCGAGTCAAAGGTCAGAACTTCCAGGAGTTCAAACCTGATTGGGGGGTGGGGGGAAACAACATTGCATCCAATTAGCCATTTCGTAGATGCAGATTAATAATCCTCTGCATGCAGAGAGATTGACAGATTTTTTTAAAAAAAGTATCAAGGAGGGACACTAACCTCTCAATCTCCTCCTCTCGGTTCAAGATCTCCATGTGACTGTCTTTGAGTCTCAGATACGTGAAGCCAAGTCTTCAGCACAACAAAAATATTGCAACACACAAATTGTAAAAGAAGAGTCTTTACGCAAGGTCGCATAATATTTTTGACCGAACAATTCATGTGCATGAAAAGCACCTCTTCATGCCCTCTACAAGCGCCACCTCATCCGGAGATGACGAGATGTAGAAGGAAGTGGACTTGCCACGGTGGATGCCCTGCTTGATGCCATCTACCGTCTCCTCCTCTTTCACTTGCACAGTGTGGCATAAGCACAGCGCACGGAAAAACAACTCCTCGCGCTGCTGTTGTTTTGAGAGGCAACACAAGTACTCTCACTTACTTCAAGACAAATACTGCAGACAAACAGTCGATATGTGTCCTCACTCACCCTGGCCTCAGGACCTGGTGATGTGTCAATCATGTCCATGCTATCTGCACCAGGCAAAACCTAAATACATGAAATAATGAATGGAGGCAGTAAGGGATGCTGAAATTAATTTCACAATCGTTTGATGAAAAAAAGAAAACACAAGAGTTGTATTATCACCTGCCCATTACAAATAGCTTGGGCGACATAAACATGTCCATCCACACAGCACTCGATGAACTCCATGTTGTTCTCTGTTAGCGTCCCTGTCTTATCAGTAAACACATACTCCACCTGGACAGAAGAATTCAAGGCTACATCGATGAACATGCCAACTGGAGAAATGTTTTCACAAAGGGCAAGGCAATGGAGAACCTGTCCCAGCTCTTCATTCAGGTCTGATGTGTTGACCACTGCTCTCTCGCCAAGCTCCTGGTCAAACATCTCATCATCCCACATCATGAAATAGGAGCCCAGGAACTTCTGCATCTCCACAGTGACGTACATGGAAACGGGGATAATGTAGTTGAATAGGACCATGAAGGCCAGGAAGTCTGTGAAGGCTCTGATCACCTGTGGAGGCAAGAGAAGACCGTGAGAAGTGTCAAAAGGAATAAATAACACTTAAAGATAAAGAAATAACCAGCAGTCTGGAATGCTGCATTTAACAGACTCACAATGTTTCTCTGCCTCGCTGCCTCAGTTCTCTGATCGTACCAGGGCTCGTCTCTGATGGGGTCGGCCTGCCACGCATATTTTAGCACTGTGTTGACAAAGGCCTTGCTGATGAGAATGCATAGGTAGACCACCAAATAGGCGTTCATTGACCTGCCAATACAAAACCTGTTAAATCCCCATACTAATCCTCTGCACAAAATGTGTTTGGATATTAAAGCCGATGTAAAGGTAACGGTGGAAGAGGGGGTTAGCCGAACTGCCTCACAGTTCTGAGGTTTGCCGTTCAAATCCGGTCGCTGGCTTTCTTATGTGGTGAATGCATGTTTTCCCCGTGCTTGTGTAGGTTTCCTCTCATATTCAAAAACATGCCTCAAAAGGTAAATTCAATATTCTTAATTATCTGTGGGTGTGAACGCGAGTCTCAAGGGTTGTTTGTCAATATGTGGCCTGCCCTCGGCTGGTGACCAGTCCAGGGTGTATCCCGCCAGCGCAACCCTAGTGAGGATAAGCACTATGGAAAATGGATGAATAGATGGAACATTCCACTAACGGGGGTTGAAAAATGAAGGCTCCAGATTTCAGTCGGTGTACTTCCAGAAGTTGCGTGGATAGGAATGGAAAGAAAAGCTTACTTTTCTACTGCAGAGCGTTTCTGAGACTTGGACTGGTAGTTAAGAGCCATCTTTGTTTCCATCCCAGTGTAGATGGCAACTGCTGAAATAAGGAAATGGCAGAAATATTGGTTCGATGGGAACCTTCTCTTCAGGGAGTATTGACAAACAACATTAACAAATATGATGGTGAAATCTTCGGCCTTTTTGTTAAATTACCATAAATGTACTCTGTGTTCTTCAGTGTGGCACCTCTGAGAAGCAGGTTCTCTGATCCCAATGGCCTGTGAACAGTAACAATTGTAATTATCGCCTTTTCAGGTGCATCGGAACTTTACTATGCGGGAAAAACTTGCAATTTATATTTTCTGTTGGAGCACAACGTTGACTATAAAGCACGCGAGACAGCAATATATCCTGTATGTGAAAGGTACACATGGTAATATTACCTTGCCACTGGCTCATTGTTCATGTAAATGTTGATGCGACCAACAAACCTATTCAGAAAAATAAATAAATAAGAAGAAATATGTTTGGGAAAATGAATTCCTGGCTGGTGTACGCAGCAGCGGGTTTCACTGACTTGTACAGGTCTGGCTGTGGTTGTTCACATTCGATGGTAGCGTGGATTGAGTCCACCTCAGTCTCAGCGTTGTAAGCTTTGGTGTCCTGCACTGCATAGTATGTCTGCAAGTGGAGGAAATACAAAACATTCTCGGCACGGTCAAACACTTGATAGGCGGGCCGTGTCAAGTAACCGTCCGGCATGATAATAAATGCTCACGCACCTTGTGACTGCTCTCGCCATCCAGACTGGCTGTGGTGACATGGCAGGTTCCATCATCCCGGGATGAGGACAAGAGTATGAGATCGCAGGGGAATGATTCATCTTCCTTCACAAAGACTATGTCTCCCACCTGAGGCAAATCCAACCAAGAGGTATCTATTATCTCATTCATTTGCAATGTGTGTGAGTGCATTTGTGACCCAAAACCTGAGACACACATACAAGGGGGTGCAAAAGTAGGTACAGTATACACTTTTTATCATGAAAAAACAGGAGCTTTATCAATGGCCTAGTGCAGGGGTCCCCAACCGCCGGTCCGCGGACCGGTACCGGTCCGCAGGGCATTTGGTACCGGGCCGCACAGAAAGAACTTGCCTTATTTCCGTTTTATTTATTTCGGAATACGAAAGATGTTTTATTTTGAAAAATTACCGGATTCTCCATTACATCCGTCTGTGTCACGCTTGATTCACGTCAAGCCACGCTTCTCGGTCACGTGACCAATGACGCTCAAAAACAAAACGCTGAAGCCCGCAAAATGACTAAAAAAGCTGCTTGGAGATCGCAAATGATGGCGGCCTTAAAAGTACGTTCGAGACAACTGGATTAAAGTTATGGCTGAATACTCTGAGATCGCCACAATAGCACTGTTGCTATTTCCGACATCCTGCCTGTGTGAGGTGGGGAGTTTCTGCAGCAACGGCGACTAAAACAAAATTACGAAGTAGACTGGACATAAACCACACACTTGAGGTGTCATTGTCTCCTATTACCCCGAGATGGGACCGTCTGATTGCAGAAAATCAACCCCGTGGCTGTGGTGAGTCATCATTTTCATGCACTTTGAATTTGCATTGTATCGTATTTTGAAGGGATTAAACATTACCAGAGCGATAAGAGTGTTGCGACCAGATTAGACGCTCCTTGTGTTTATTATTATATTTTGAAAACACCACAGTTTTCATGCAGCTCATACCATATTATTTTGTTGTATTAATCCGCCACACCTTAAATGCGGGTCCCTGAAAATATTGTCTGACATAAACCGGTCCGTGGGGCAAAAAAGGTTGGGGACCCCTGGCCTAGTGAATATAATGGCCATTCATCGGGCCCCCGTAACCTATACATCTGTGGGGTCGTTCAATTTATGGTGAGATAAAGAAGGAAAAGAACTCGGTACAACTCTCACACCTTTGTACAGTACATACTTTTGCACCCCTTTGTATATGTGTGTATGAGTCAGAGGGCGAAACCTTGCTTTAGTATGAGGCAATAGAACATGCTGTTCGGCGTAAGAGTGACTGATTTGGACACACATATGCACAAAAACACACCCGCAGTTTGCGACTCTGCTTGCAGATCACTTTGCCATGTTGCAGCACGTGGACGGGACACTGGTTGACAGCGTTGTCCGCTTTGTGTCTCAGCCAGTCCTCGTAACCCTGAGAAATAGAGATGGTGGATGATGACAAAGGCCATGGCATGGCATGACATCAGGCTTTCGGGCTTCCCACCTGCTTGATAGCTGTAACTGTGATGACAAAGAAGAGCGGCAGTCCACTGGTGACAGGACTGGTGGGTGTGTCAATGATCAACTAAAAAACACAATGGAAAGACGTTTCGCAGCATGGAAATCGGCCGCAACAGTGACATTAGCTCATTGACAACAAGCAGTGCCCTTTAGTTCCATACCACGCAGTACAAATTTTCCTCAAATTCAAAGGCTACAAAAATAACTGATCCAAATCAATATGACTTTAAAGAACACTAATGATGTGCCAATCAAAATGGTACAGTGCCTCATGGACCAAAATGGTGGTGTGAGACAAACTGGAGGACTGATTTGGTCAACAGAAATTCATCATTTCCATTTTATGATGGGAATGGAATGGCAAGAGTGCAATAGGTACATTTTATGACACAAACTTGACTTTTTCTTGGAATAGCAGCCACAAGCCAAGAAGAAAAAAAAACACATCAAATGTTGGATGACTTTGGTTGTTTGGTTTAATGTCGGGTAATTAATCAAAATTTAAAAATATCGCAGAAAAATTATTCATGTGCCAAACAGCCGCGTGTGTGGGCATTTTTCCGATGTTATGTAAGTATCCTGAATGCATGTTCCTTGTGCAGCAAATGTTTGATGTGATATAATACTGCTGTCCCTGAACAGGCTTTAAAATGTTTCATGACACCCCAGTTGGAGTTTACTGTAAAACTGAACACACTATAAAAACAAATACACACATTGTATATTTAAATACAAGACATGCTTCATTTTGAAAAGATAAATCATCAGCATTGATGCTAAAGTCAATGTAAAATCCCATTGACATGCTACTAAGAAATTAGCATGGAGTTCCAGGAGTGATATTCCTTCAAATAAATATTCACACACAAACACCACAGGAACACATACATACAAGCAATATACCAAGACTCAAAGACACATTTTCTTCCCAATATGTTTCAAAGTAATTATATTAATAGAGCTGGGACAGCCGACATTTATTTTTATTTATTCATTTGTTTAAACTGTAGTTACTTTGATACATTTTTCTTTATTACTAATTTATTTTTTGGTTTTTCTTTCATGTTACATTTAAAGGTGAGTTTTTAAGTTGGAGCAGGACACATTTCCACATGGTATGGCATGAAATAGGGCCCCGAGGTCGCATGTTAGCCCAGTAAGTAAATAAAAATCGGAACTACAAAATAAGATGAAAATCAAAACAATTAAGAGATAAGGGAGATGCTTTTGCACGATAACAATGTGTGCAAAGCTGCATTGCAGCAAAGGTGTGGATGCAGCAGAATGAACATGTAAGAGACCTAAATTCCAAAGGATATTTAGAAGATTATCTTGTTCTTGTGTTCAAAGTGCAGGGATGAATGTGCATGAGTCGAGGATGACAGTTTTGCTAGTTGAATGAATACAGTTTTACAGTTTTTTGAAATCAATAAAATATCATTTTCATTAACCAATAATTTCAATATCAATTAAGATAATCATGATTATCAGTATTACTTTTCCTATTTTTTTCATAGGCTTACTTTGTAATACTCTTACAGACGCCTGGTGCCACACTAATATGATGTCATTCGATTTACACAGAGGATGCAGCTATGACCATCACGTCTATACAACCTGATGAGGGTTACTGTTATTGTTCCAAACTGTACCATGGTGAAAGACCTTTTAATGAAAATACAACCAAATAAATGTAATGTTACCTGAACCAGAAAGATGATGAGAAAGTAGAAGTTGGCAACTCTCCTGAACTGCTCAAACATATTCTTGGGGATGAAGTTCCAAAATGTGTACTGGGAACACAAAACAGTAGTCAGTTCAGGCATTTGGGACAATAAAGTAAAATGCAAAACCACTTAAATGCCGAGAAGTCTCCACGAGTTTTACACCTGTTGCCAACAGCATGGGCAATCCATTAGATTGAGTGAACATGCTATTTGGGATTTTATTAAGATTGTAATCTCTATTGTGTTGACCACAAAAATCGGTTGATCCAAAAATGTATGCCTTGTAACCATTCATTCATTAATACTACCGGTAATTATTATTTAGTTTGTCTATTTTTGGATTTATTTATTTATTTATTGCCATGCTCGCAACCAATGTTCTGGGTTGCCGCGTGCAGCAGGAAGCTTGAAGCTCTCTTCTGGCAACAGAAACAGCTATCCAAGGATTATGCCTAATGTTTTCATTCTGTAAACAGTCAAAATTAAAGTTTTATGTCATGACTGCAAAACTAAGCTGAAGTCACGGGAACACACGTGACACACATATAGGTGCAACAGGTTACCACTGCACTATGATGGGTAAGGTAGGATAAATTTTATTTCATTCATTCATTCCTTTTTACTCATTCAGCTCGGTTCACGACGACGGAAAATTAGCCCCAGAAAGACTCTCCACCAGTGGCGGACCCTCACGGCCAGCAAGGCCTTCTCTGCTGGCCTAAACTTTTCTGAGAATAACATAAGTTTGTTTTTTTATTTTCATAAATATGTTAACAAAATTATTCTCTGTATTGTTTACGTCATATTATTTCCACTTAGTCGAGTGGCTTTCAATGTTATTTTAAATAACATTGAAAGCCACTCGATAAATAACTTATTTATTATGGTAGAGTTTTTAACTAATCATATTTCAGCTAGCTTGTGTTGCCAGGTAAATTAAACTTGCTCGGGGCCTTCAGATTAAACAGAGCAGGCCCCTGTGCGCTGTAAATGAACGGGCACAGTCAGGTTTCAATAGCCAATCAGATCACGAGTCTCAGACTCGTGATCTGTATCCTGTATCCTGACTTGTTCTCGTCTGCGTACTAGGGCTAGCTAGAAGGCCTTACATCGAGACTGGCCGTGCGCGTTCGGTGATTGGATTAGCGCCGTTTCTGTTTCCTGAGAATTCTATCCTGACTTGTTCAATAAAGATTTAAAAAAAAAAAAAAAGATTGGATTAGCGTCTGCTAGAGCTATCACTTGCATTTTAACTCAATATGGCCGAAGGAGAAGATGTTGATCTGGTTGCAGAACTACTTTCCACACAATTTGCAAGATGGACCTTCAACGAAAAGCTCGATATTGTGCAAAGAGGTCGGCCAACTCCTGCGCCAGTTAGCCTGTCCCAGCAAGGAAAAGGGTTTGTCCGTCATTTTTAGACAAGCAATTATGAACGGTACCCGTGGCTCACAGCCTCTAAGAAACGCTGCAAATTGTACTCCTGGGAATGCCTATTGCTTGCAACTGACTGGTGCGTTTAAAAACGTTTGGGGACACTCGCGTAGCTCTGCAGCTTGGTAAACAGGCACGCCGGGAGACGGAGCTCCACAACAAAAAAGTAAAAAATAAATAAATAAATAAAAAGTAGGGAAATTAAAATTATACCAGAAACACGACCAGAAAAAAACGGCTTACAGCATTAGCTTCCATGTCGATAGAAAAGGACTTGCTATTGGACTTGAAAACTGTACAACAGAGCCACTAAAGTGTTCCTGAGAAAACAAAGGAGGAACGACTTTATTTTCAAATAAGCAGACGCTGTGGAGAACTACATTGGTGAGTCAATGAATTTTATTTTACATTTCTTCTTGTCATTTTATTTCGTTCGTATTAAATTCATGGTAACGAAATAAAATGACAAAGATACAAAAATGTATCAAATAAATCTGCTCACCTGCAATTTATAATGGCACATTGTAGTCACCTTTGTGCACGAAAGTTCGTTCAATCTCAGCTGCTCAACATTTTCAGTTATCTGCTGTTGTATCGCCGATTTTCAAAATGCAAATGATTTGTTTATTTTCAAAGAATAGTTTGTTTTGTTATTGTTTGGTCGGTGTCTTATATGAATCTGCGACATTGCGCAATTTATTGGACAGACTTGTTTAAGATCACACAGCGTAATTTGGGTGCCATTTTATTTCGTATTTTTAAATCATCTTTTTATTTTTGACTATCTGTAAATTTAGTTTCCTGCTCTTAATTGTGAATGCATACTTGATGGTTTTAAATGCTCCTGAAATTAAGTGCTGCTTGATGAGCCTATACAGTATTGTGTTCATGTATGTGACGTCACTGAAGGCCTAAGGTTGAAATGCACGGCCTGCCACTGCTCTCCACTTACTGTAATAGCTCAAAAAGATCATTTTAACAGATATTGCTGCTGCATGTGGTGTGTTCAAGCTGATCTGGAAGGACATTTGGGTCGCTCTCATCTCAAATTGGGGATACAGCATGTTGGATTGTTTAGGCCTGACTTTACGCCGTGCGAGGTGTGCCTCGAGGACAAACAAGCAGCCATTCGGAAAGCGAGTTGACGAGGCGGCGAGGAAGCAAGGTGAGAAATACAAAACCAAAACAAACATGGCTCTACAGAAAAAAATCTGTGCTCGCGCTCTCTCAACCCCTCCTTTTCTTTTTATGTTGCTTTTTTGGGGGCTAAAAAACTATCGCCACTGCCGCCTCTTTGTCCGCCGTGCTTGTTTCCTCTGAAGTGACGTTTAATCTCGAGAAGCTTTGTGTGGGAATATCTGTGAATGCAATCGGTTCGTGTGTTGACATATTGTACAAATATTGTACCTAAAAACCGGTATACCCGTGATTTTTTGTGTGTGCGTGCGGTCAGGGTTGGGGGTGATTCCTTGAGTGGTCGATGGAATAAAACAAAGGATAATTAATTCCAAACACATTTGTATGTGCCAGCCTTAAACGCAATCTTCGGCGATCACGCACAATGCACACACCAACAGCGCATGACGTCTGTCTCATTGAGCACGCGATTTAGCGTCTTCCATTTGGCATCTTAAATCGGGTCCTGTGTGACTGGCCCTCATGTGCTTTCACTGACCTTAGAGGAGACTATCCTGTTGTCTGGGAATCTTTGTTGTATGAAAGCTTCCGTCCCTGGAGGAGGCTCCTTGTGTCCAATGTAGATTGTCCTACTGTCCACCCAGTTTTCCTCACCCGCACACTGCAGGGGAATTCATCATAAAATATACAGATTGTACAGCGCATTCAAAGAAGCTTTATTGTTAAACTTATATTGAGTGGCCCACATATTAAAGCCTCATTTCAACAGCAGTATGTCATGTGACGCCTCACACTTTTCTGTCAAATAATCAAGATGAAGGAGCTATTTGTCCTCAGTGAATAGCAGCTTTTGTTTCCAGATATACAGAGTCGCGTGTGATCAATTCTGGTATGTCGACGATGCGAACTCTCATTCCCGCAGTCACCCACAAACGCCAAAGTGTAAAAATTGCAAACGAAACTGCTATTTCTCCCATTTTGTGCTCATCTTTGTCTTTTCTTGAATGGAATCGTTCTCCGGTCCCATAAATAACTAGCACAATGCTTACACAGCTTTTGTCTCATTAAGACCACAATGACATTGTTGTATGCACTAAGAACTACAGGTGTGCTGGGTGCCGTATACTAACGCTGCTCTTCAACCTGAACTATAGAATCAGATGTTACATGAAAATGGAAAGGTGTATAGACAGCAGCTTTTTATGACCGGATGAATTTTGCTCAACTCAAAATGTGCAGTGTGAATATGGCAAAAATGCAAATACAATTAATACGGTGGCGGGGATTGTTCCTGTTGCACACCAGTCGAAATAAAGCTGACTAATCGCTCTTTGTCTCACTTCAAATCAATCAATCTTGAACATAACAAATACTTGTGAATGCTTGCCAGTGTAGCAAAATTGAGGTTTTTGTCATGGCTAGTAAAAGTTTGCAAAAGGTTTCTTGTCGCCAAGAAAAACAGTTTGGGACAAGTAAAAACTGTCTGTGAATGCAAACATCAGACTTCTTTTCCAAACCCTGACGAAAACCCTAAATTCTGAATGGTCGAGAGTATTCGCTGCTCAGTGAGACACCGGCTTTAGATGAAGAGCAACCTGTGAGAGAGTTACGCATAGACATGGAGAGGAAGTCATTGCAAAGCAAAGTTGTCATCCATATTTCCTTCTCCGCTGTTAGCATCTGTTCCTTGCTTGGTTTTGTGCTGTTCATTTGAATGTAAAAGAGGTTTGTTCAACGCGAACTTATGCATGCATGGCTTTTCATTTGCCGTCTTTTCGGGTAAGTAGTTAGCATGTCTCCCTCCTGGTTCAAAGATTTGGGGGTTGAATCTCAGTTCTGGCCTTCCTCGTGGACTATGCATATTCTCTCTGTGCTTCCATGCGTTTTCTGACCGTACTGTGGCTTCCTCCCACATTCCAAAAACATGCATGGTAGGTTAATTGAAGACTCATAATTTTCCACAGTTGTGAAAGTGAATACATTTTTTTCTGAACCTGTCCTGTGACTGACTGCTGACCAGTCCAGAGTGTACCCTGGGTGCACCTAGCAGCATACTGGGATATGCTGCTAGGTGCACCCACGACCCTGATAAGGAAAAGTGTTTTAGGAAATGGATGGATGGATGGATGGCTTTCTTTCATCAAAATAAAATGATTGTAGTTTGTTTAAGGTCAAAGGTCTCCACTTTGCTCAACTCAGCCGAAGCGCTTCACTTCATTTTGTACTTATTTGCGCATATGTTGTTAAGAAAGTTACGTCAAAAATAACATAACCAAACTCTTAATGTCTGCCTGTAGTGTCAAAAACTAGGCAGGTCGCCCGCTGCCGCACCATCATTATTCCTCGTGGACTATGCATAAGCTATTCTATAGCCCTGGAAAGTAGTCACGACATAATTTGTTAATTTTGTCACAATTAGCAAGTAAAATGTCTCACGGACTGTTTTATTATTAAACACTGCGTTTGTGGGTGACAGTGACACTTGGACTGATGTACCTTGCTGTGATTTTAATGACGAGTGATTGATTGTCCATTTCCACTGCCGTCTTAGGGATGCGTGTGCTTTCCATCATCGGCCTCTCTCTGGAAGGCTTCTAAGGTCATAGTCGCCCCGCTATCGATTGAGTTCAACTTCTACCGGCAGTCAAGCTTTTTGCAGAAAAGCCTGTCTGAGTTTAATCTAATCAGATGGCATCCTTACAAAATAAACCTCTTCTTATACTCTGAAAACTGCCAATGTGAGCTGTGATCTTGAGGCTTTGTGTGTAACTGGAGACATTAGGCTATTTTGAACCCTGGTAATCTCTTCGAGTGGCGTTTCATGTTCCAGGACATGGTGGCTTTCAGAAGTTTATTTATAGTTTGAGGGGAAGCGTTTGTGGTCAGGATGGAGGGAAGATGGATGATGGGAGCTTGCAGACTTTATATCTGTCTGCCTCAATCAGTGCCACACATGGGGTAACAAACAAACATACACACTATCTAGCGTTGCCTCACTAGTTAGCTATATTTAGATGAGGAAACAAGCTCCACCTCTCCTATTGTCTTCACAATTCAGTTTCCTCACATCTTGAATGGGTAGCACTACAAGCAGGACATGGATCCACCCATTACAATGAGTACACACTTCCGAAAAACTCTAACTTGATTCTAACAGCTCCAACGCTACCACCAACGTAATATCCACTGAAGCCTATATCTTCATTCTCCAAAACAAAACAAAACAAAACAAAACAAAAATATTTTTGAGACAATGCTATGCTTTCAACATAGTTTGAGGGAACTTTTTGGGAAGGCCCCTTTTTGCTCTTCTGTGACTGCGGAAGCCATCATGGGCATGCTTGGACGAGTTTGTTGTGCTTGAGCCTTGGCCTCAACCTCAACTCAACTCAACTGTATTTATAGAGCACTTTCAAACTGCCATCGCTGTATACAAAGTGCTGTACATGGAGCAATTTAACATATACAACAGTAAAGTAAATCGGTAATAAAGACGGGAGAAAGCACCGAACAGCAAAACCAAGAACAAATCTACGTCATGCTGAGTCGAATGCCAGAGAATACAAGTGAGATTTGAGGCGGGTTTTGAAGATGGGCAGCGAGGAAGCTTGCCGAATGTTCAGTGGGAGGTCATTCCAGAGAGAGGGACCAGCAACAGAAAAGGCTTGATCCCCTCTGAGCCTCCGTTTAGTTCTTGGTGCTTCTAATAATGTCTGGTCCGCAGACCTGAGGCGCCGGGCAGGTGTGTAGGGGCGGATGAGCTCAGAGAGGTAAGGTGGCGCGAGGTCATTTAGAGATTTGAAAACAAATAAGAGGATCTTGAAAATAACTCTAAAATGTATGGGGAGCCAGTGAAGGGATGCCAGAGAAGGAGTTATGTGCTCCCTCTTACGAGTACCAGTCAAGAGGCGAGCAGCGGCATTCTGGACCAGCTGGAGACGCTTAATGGAGGACTGGCTGACTCCAAAGTAAAGGGCATTGCAGTAATCGAGCCGGGATGTGACAAAGGCATGAATAACAACTCAATCAAACCTCATAAAACAACTTTGTGATGAACTTGAACAGAGATGTTGAGCAAGAAAAGAGCCTTTCTGCGGGCCAACATCAGTCACCGCTGAGCTCTCAAGTGCTCGTCAGGGTGACTAAAAATCTGATGTAACATCTTCCCAAAAAGTCGAAGCAGAAGAGTGGAAGAGGTTCTAGGTGTAAAGGTGGGGGCCAACTGGTCACATATTTTCACTTGCTGTACATGTAATCGCCAGGTGCCCCAATATGTTGGTCCAAGAAGTTTATCAACAATATACGCTAAGTCAGGGGTAGGGGACTCCGGTTCCTCGAGAGCCATATCCTGCCTATTTTATATCCCTCCTTACTCCAACACACCTGATTCAATTGATCATGATCGTTTCAGGCTTCTCCAGAGCTTGCCCATGAGCTGATCGTTTGAATCAAGTGCCTTGGAGTAGGGAGGGATCGAACGCGGGCAGGATATGGCTCTCCAGTAACTGGAGTTTCCCTACCTCTGCGCTAAGTGACGCACACATTAGGGCTGTGTGACACCTGGCGTGTAAAGATAACCCACAGGACACTTGAGTCACATAAACAGATGACCATTGTTTCGACACAGCTTTTGAAGTTGAGTCATTGTCGTCACCGATAACCTCCATCTTTTATCTCTTTATCTCTCTTGCCAACAGACTGTGACAGAGACAAAGTCATCTTAGGTAAATGATGGTGGTCTGTTTTGTGTGATACGGCCACACACACACACACACACACACACACACACACACACACACACACACACACACACGAAGTCTGCTCCTTTGTTGTGCGTATTGGACAACAGAGCATGTGCACATGCACAGACACTTAACATCATATCACTCTCAAATAAAGGTGTCTTGGTAAACAAACTAATTTCTGACATTAGCATCGATCTATTCGTCTCTTTGAGATCCGGCAAAGTGTAGATGAATATTTTAGCCTAAATTAATGCACTACCCCACACTCATTAACTCTTGCACACTTGAAAAACTATACAGGTAATAGGAGTTTTCCAAAACCCAAATGTGGATGTCGACAATAAGATTGTCCCCTCATCATTTATTTATCATTAGTTGAAATTCTCTCAGCTAGTCGATGGTATGAGCTAATGTCACCATCACATACTTGACCTTGTTCTGACATATGGCATTGTCCTAACATACTAATATACACTTTTTTATTTTTGGGTGCTCGGCAATATGGAAATAAATCTTCGACCACAATATGGGCTATTTTATATCCTGATAACAATAGACTGTGCCACATTTTGAGTGATATAAACAAAATATTAACAACTATACAACATACAATGCACATTTACCTCTTCTCACTTTATTTTGAAGTGACATTTAGCAGACCCGTATTAAATGATGAATGCATCTAGTAGTGTTGCTACATAAAGAGAGGCTTAGCTTACAGTAGCTTACATATTTTTGCACAAATGAAGATAATCCAAATATGAGTCATAAAAATAGTTTGACATTTTCAGTAATTCAATAAAAGCAAGGAACATTTTTTTTCAAAGTGCAGTTTCAAGGTTCTGATATTTGTAGCCTTGTAGTGCAGCCAAAGGAGGCGGTCAACAGTACCAATATTGCACAAAAGTGGGAGTGG